ATTATATTAAAGACTAGTACACTACAATTTATGTTCAATTTTTTTTATTAAATTAAAGTTAGATGAAACAATTACTTAAGTGGAGAACAAATAGCTTTGTAATAATCTACTATGCGATTTTATAAATTTTTGTTTACTTAATAAGATTGGATAAACAATTGGGGTTATTTTAATAGTTTTACAACTTATGGGATTCTTATGTTTATGAGAAAATATACAATACAAAAATTTCATATCGCATATTCAAACAAAACTTCAATTTCATTTATGGCCAAACGGGCCCTTAGTAATTCAATAAATCTTGATTTGGAATCTACCTCTTTTTTAATTTTCTATTTTAATCCACCGCTTCTTGCTAGGTGATGTTGAGAAGGTACAATACATAAATTCACACCTGTACTTGTATTTTTAATTGCCCTCAAATTTATTTTTAATTAAACATTATGATTAAAGATGGACGGGATTCATATTAATATTGAAACTGTCAAAACATAGTTAATCAAAACACATTACACATTTCTTAAATATATCTGTCACGTGTGTTATTTACTCTAAGATGAATAATAACACATGCAACATATATGTCAAATAAAGTATGACATGTCATCATCACCTTCGTTAGTCAAACTAAAATAAATCCTTGGAAGCCTAATAAAATAATTAATAGAATGCCAATAACAAGAACAACTGGGGTACCTTCTGGCTTTGTTACTGGTGTGCATTCATATCAACGAAATTGAAAATTCAATTTGAAATATATATACTTATATGAAGGCATCTAAATTAAGTAACATAGTCGACAGGAAAGTCAATATACAGCCAAAAACCTCGTAATAATAATAACATTTATTTTAAAATTTTATACAATTTTTACAGTAAAATATATACAAAGCTTATAATAAAACTGGTTTAATCTTGATTTACTAACTTGGAATTAAGGACCTTTTTAAGTTTTCTTTCTTTATCCGTATGTAGAAGGTTCTAGTACATAGTAATACTAATACGAAGAGAAATATATCCAAGTATTTTTGCTGTAAGATAAGTATGTGATTCCACGTCACTATATTTTATCTTATTATTTGTAATACTTAATTTACAAGATTGATTAATGTAGGCCCATCATGTTTGACAAATATCCTATTCATTTTATTAGCATCATTATCCTTCATTTATATTTTTCAGATAGTATCATTATCAATATTGATTTACCTTCCCAAAATGCTACGTCAGCAATTAGATTTGTTCAAATCCAAAATCTTAATGCATAACCGACACATGCCGGTCTTACGCGGAACCAGATACAACCAATCTCCGGTTTCATTGGCGAAACACTACTAATTAAGCACATGTAATAGCCGGTAATTTTCATTAGTCAACGCATGAGCAACTCTTTATTTTCCTCTATATATATGATTCCGTTATCCTTGGGAAATATTTACAAAACAGAATTGTGTTTCTGATACTGTGAAAACTAGTTGTTACATGATCAGTAGAGTGCATCAAGGTATGATGAGGGTGATTCATCAAGGGGTGAAGGATCATCAAGCAACAAGACGAGGTGATGGTGGAATCAAGACTCTTAAGGACTCATCTTGTGGCGGTGGTGCTGGTGCTGGTGGAGGAGGAGGATCATCGTCAAGGCAGACATGGAAATTATCTGGTGCTGTTGATACCAACGCTCTCATCAAAGCAGCAAAGGCTAAGAAGATTAAACAGGCGGAAGAGTCTTTTAGGACTGTCATGTTCTTGACCTGCTGGGGACCTTAATCTCAGTTGTTCTTCTCTGTCACTCATCCAAATGAGTCTTTTGTACAAAATGTCATATATGTATATATATACTCATCTGAGTCTTGGTTTTTTTGTATATATATATAAGGAAAGACCAGAGAGTTTTGAGACTGGCTATAGTGCATGTATATTTGATAGTTGACAGTGAATGAACTAGAACTTTGCAGAATATTACAGCTTTTTCGATGGTTATTAACCTATTGATTTGTGTTATTTCATTAGTTTAAGTAAAATATTTGTTTAAATTTTATTTTATCATATAATTAAATTTATGTTATGTACCATCAAAGAATTGGATATGGTGATGAGTTATTTTTCCTTTAATCAAAGGCGTCGGGTTCGAGCCTATATATGAAAAAATCCTAGTTAAGGAGTGCTATCTCCCAAAATGGGATTCTACTCGACGAGAATTCAGATTAATCGGTCTCTAGTGTGGGGTACCATATATCGGGTGAGAAACCTAGCTCTAATGTGGGGTACCATATGTCGGGTGAGAAATCTAGAAAAAATATGTTAGGTTTGGACAAAATAATCATTTTAGGAATAGATTGATTTTGATATGATCATAGTTATCTTGTTTTTTTATACTTTGTCTTTGTTTATTATTAATAAAAAAATATATTTTGTATCTTATCTTTTTAAGGTAAGCCTACACCATATTCTATAAAAAAAAAATTAAAAAAATTAGGGTTATACTTCAAATTTTTTACTTTTTATTTTATTTGAAGATATATATTAGGTACAATTTATTTAAATATTATATTTATTAAGATAATATAATACAATGAAATTATAT